GCAGCCTGGATATGTTCTCTTGCAGAATTAGCAATCAACCCTGCTTTGTCAATGGTAGATCTGTGAATCACAGCGTTCCTCCTAGTCTTCTCTTGCTGTACAAATGAGTATGCTTGTTGTAAGGATGGAAAGGGATCTCGTCCAAGAACTTGGACTCGAATCTGATCATACTCGTTATTTAGGCCAGCCAGAAAATCATACACACGTTCTACTTCAATCAACTTTTTTCAATCAACTCCTGACTTGAGTCGCATCATCAGTAAACAATTTTTGCTTGAAAGTCTTGAATAAACAGATCTAGTTCCTGCGCATAAACCCACTAAGTTTAAGCAAAATACTGAGCGATAAGTCAGATCTTCCTTGCTTGGTTTCATGTGAAGCAGGCATCGCCATATCTTCTTAGCATCCCATATCTTCTTAGCTGTATCAAGAAGCAAATATCCTCGAGAAATAGTTGGCTGCATAGAATTTATTAACCAAGACATAATAAGAGAATTCTCGGATTTCCATTTGTTAAAACCCGGATCTGTTGAAACTGGTTTAATCGCTCCACCATCAAGGTATCCTTGCAAACCTCTTGCTTCAATAAATAATAAACAAGACCAAGCCAGGAAGTTTGTTCCATCTGACTTCACTCGACTAATATGAAGTGAGGGACTCTCTGAGTGAAAACTTATATCCACCTTCTTTCCGTCACCCATACTGTCAGATTAAAAAAAAGTATATTCAAATAGCAATGTGAAGAACCAGCAGTGGCAGAAATACACCTAAAAAAAATGGAAAAAATTCCAAATGCAAAACTGGTGCTGAAGAACAGTAGGGGAAAATCGCCACAACAAGTCGAGCTCGTCGGAACAAGAGACGTCGACAAAGCTCACCGGAAACAGCTGCACGCGCCGACGCGTGAAGAACGGCCGAAATCTTCTGGAGGCACGTGTGCACACGCGCATGGTCGGATGGCGACGCAGCTTGGATGGAGGGCCGATCGGCGGTCCCTCTTCCTTCTGAGCTGGGCGGTGACTGCCAACTACCACTCCCGACGGTACTGTGTGTATCTCAGCCCTATTTCAAACCAAAACCGTTGCCGAAAAATTCACGGCAATGGCTCTGATACCATGTAGAAAATGGCTCTGATACCATGGTAGAAATTAAAGGAAAGAATATGTTTTATTTCTTTCAATTGTTGTTATATTTTTTCCAACCCCTACTCACTATATATATATATATAAAATTGGTTTCCAATATAGAAAGTAATCTAAATAGGAATTAACATAAACCCATATAGAAAGTAATCTAAATAGGAATAACCATAAACTAAGAAACATAATCTTTACACTAATTAGGAATAAACCTAAACTAGGAAACACAATATTTACTTTAATCACAAAGATTTCAACAAAAGCTTCTTGGTGAAATATAAGAATGAGAAGTAGTGTTGGTCTATGAATTTATGAGTCTAGGTTTCTTGAAGTAGACCCAACAACACCAGCTGCAGCTGCAATTAACTGATGCTTTCTTCTCCGAGCAGCAGGCATGCACATGCTCTTCAAGTGAGTACACAATCATAACCACGACTATTACAACAAGTCCTACACTTCCTATGAGTACGATCTTCCTTAGCCTGGTTTTCCACAATCTTAGCACCTTGTTGCTCCAAATGAAGCTAAATTAGAGCCAATGCCACCACCTGAGCTTGTATTGTTGATGGAAGAAGAATTATTATGATGATCAAGAATAGAAACCAATAATTCTCTTAATATTATATTGGCTATGTCATAGCCCTGACCTGGTCAGTATTGTCCGCTTTAGGCTTTGCAACCCTCACGGATTTGTCCCTCAGGCAGGCTTTGCAACCCGCCCAAAAGCCGCTAACCAAGTGAAGCTCTATCCTCTTATGTATAGATCTGTTTACCCCGTCCTTAACCGATGTGGGATTTGCTAAGGTGTGCTGGCCTTGCCACATACCCTTGGGGACTCAGCGGTTAATGTAGAGGGTGGTCCTGTAATATAGAGGGTGGTTCCAGAACATGGTTGGAGCTTTTGGGCGGGTTGCAAAGCCTGCTGAAAAACCGTGAGGGTGACCTCGTACGGAAGGGCCTAAAGCGGACAATACTTACCATGGGCTGGGCCATGACAATTGGTATCAGAGCCAAAGCCTCGTTCCTCTGGCCGGTGGTGGGGCAAACCTCAGCGAGGACGCTGAGTCCCTAAAGGGGGGGTGAGCGGTGGCTGTGGGCTGTGTGCGCAGTGCACTCACCTTAGGCGAATCCCACATCGGTTAAGTGCGAGGGGGAAGTGATGTACATAAGTGCGGTGGTCTTAGAACATGGTAGGCGCCTTGGGTTGCAAAGCCTGCCTGAAAACAAAACCGTGAGGGGGTACTCGTACGGGCTGGAGCCCCAAAGCGGACAATATTGACCATGGGCTGGGCCATGACAGGCTATGCTGGTTTTGCCAAAACTGAATTCCAGAAAATGGATTCTTGATCCATGAAAAACAAGTGCCAAAACAGTAGATAAGTGGCAGAATAGCTTATAATTTCTACAGGAATAGGGGCAGTATAAACCATCAGAGTGGATTTGATATTTAGCAGTTAAGGATTATAAACGTAACAGCAAAAAATGGGATGAAAGAAAAGATTCTCGTTTTATTATAAAAATACTTTTGCAACTTCCAATATACAATAATAATATATAGTTTCAAGCATGGCATATGTGTATCAAGACTTTAAAAAGTCCAAGAACATAGACAATAGATGAATGTTACCTCATACTTTCTAGACATGCTCATACATTAATTTGTTGCCATCTTATCTAGATGGATCATTTGCCTCTCAGCACCCTCATTGTTCCCCAATAATTGCATTGGCAATACTTGTTAGTGGAGAAGGGGTAAAAAAAAAATGAAAGAAAGATTAATTTCAGATTCATTAAAGAACCTAGTCACTAGTGAACACTTAAGCTGGATGAACCAAATCAGCTAGGAAAAATAATGCAAGAAAATATATGTAAACCTTGAAATGCAAGTACATTTGCATTTGCTGGTATCTGAAGTTGTATTACACAACCCCAATGACCAGATTTCGATATACGCTTATGATATCGATATCAGCTAAAGCAGCAAGTCTAATATACCAGTAGAGTCCTAATGCTACACACGTTTACATATCAAACTTCAAAATGACAAGACCTGTTTTTAAAGCAAAATCATGATTTGTAAACTTCTTACGTAGAATATAAAATAATATAAACTAGTTGAAACAGAACAGAAGATTACCTTTGTCAATTGCCGGTGGTTTGCAAAAGCCCAATTGGTCATGATCATAGAAGCAACCACAAGAAAGAAGTAGCCTGCAACAGTCTGCATAGCAATATTGAAACCCAACCACTGATAAACCTCTGTTGTGTAATTTGAACATGTCACCATGTTAAAGAGAAACCCACGTGGGATTTGATACCCTCCACTCCAATCTGGACTGCAAAGATTTTTTTTTTTTTTTCCAACAAGATATGGCAATAGAAGCTTGCAACTTGACAAATCAAACCAAAGCCAAAACCCAATCTTTCATTGAAGATCACTAACAGGAGCATAAAGTGGGTGGTTTACATAGTAAGCCATGTAGCAACCAAATGTCCAGTAAGAAGAACAATTTCGGAACACATTACACAGTGGTGGTGCATGGCTAAATCACAGAACAAAAAAGTGTTTCCATGATACATTTGAAGTAGAGGAAGCATATGTCTTAACTGGTTTGATGACAAGTTCTCCCTTGAAGCCAAAGTACTGGTAAACAGGAAAGAAGTAAAAGACGGAATAAAGAACGAAAGGACTCATGTACACCCAAAAAAACAAGGATGATACAGTAGGAAACTCATGGACCCAGGTCCTTGAAGACTACAGTTATTTTGTCTTCCCATCACAATAATCCTCAACTCTTCTTCTTATTAAGGACTACAGACCTCTCCTTTGATCCCTATAGAAGAGGGATGGTCGGCCGCTGTCTAGAAGGGTAGAAATTTTTGGCAGTTGATGTCATTAGTAAAACAGGTTATTAAAATAAATCACATCTGATGCTGCAAATGCAACAAATATCTAGACATTACTTATTTGCATATTTTTCCTTGAGATGAGGATTGCGCTTTCAAACAAACTTGAAGAACATACTCGGTCAAAGAACCAAGAAGTCCAGAATCATGAAATAGAGATACTCAAGTTCTCAAAAAGTGACAATCTTGTGGCGACTTTTGTCGTTTGAACTCTCTAACTCTGTTTACAGCACTCAGGAGATGATCTCATTCCTTTTAGGTCTCTTGTTCTTGAAAGAAAGATCTTGCACATGACTTAACCACTACCCACCACCCAACCCCACCATAGAAATAAATATCTTAACCGCAGTTTATGATCCTATGAGTTTCTTCTTAGTAGGCATGATACATTAAATCAATAATTCAAATAAAACAAGCCATTCAAATTGAATTTCAACATGATAAGCCGATTCAGTGAATAAAAAAGGAAAAATATTCTGCCAAATTATTAACTTCGCTTGCAATTACTTTCAACCTGTGAAAGTGAGTATTCTGTTGATCCTGCCCCTCAGATTCAACTGCCTAAAAACAGCAAGAACATTTCCTCCCGTCAAAATATATATGGTCCTTTCCATTTGCCCACAGAGACACCTCAACTCCAACTAACATTGTAAGACCCATAAATAGGAAATTATTTTTTGCTGTTGGTAACTTTCTAAACTAAAGATGTCAACCATTGGCGGCTGTCATTCACATGTTCATCACATTATCCAGCTAAATTTTTTCATTATCGAGTTGGAAATCAATTTGAGTAACTAGACTGTTAGAAAAAGCAAAGTAACAGCTTTTCATGTAAACCTAGAATGGATAAAATAAATCATGGATATGAATCCTATTTTCCAAAACAGCCATGTTTATATTGATGAAAAGTAAGCAAATTTACATGGCACATGACAAATTAACAAGCAGAAAAACTTGAATCAAACTCACAACAGCTATGTGATATTAAATGAACTCTTAAGAGGACTTTCTCAAATCATGTCCTTTTATAAACAGTTTCTAGATCATTGATCAAGAATAGAAGGATACAACACGATAAAAGGATGCATCAGCAGAGATTCTAGAAATGATCAAAAATTTTGAGGAACAACAACAAAGCTAAGAATATTTCTGATACCAAAGTAACATTTAATAATCAAACTCACTAAGCAAGTTTGCAAATGTCCTCATACTCAACAGCTTTGAGCACTCGTCCATCATAAATCCCCTTCTCTAGTTGCACCTTGGCACAAAACTTCTCTGTATCCACTCCCAACAACCTCGCATTCGATCCTCTATATGCTCCATTAATTATCCTCACAAGACCCCCTATCTGTGGAATAACAGTCTCGAGCTCTTCTTGATCAACTCTCAATACATGCTTATTCTCAAGCATTTCAATTTCCCCTACATACTTGTCAATCACTTTCCTCACGACTCCTTTCTGCTTATAGTAGCCTTTCTCTGCCAATGTCTTACTCATCACCTTTACGATAATCCCTTCACAAAGCCAGTAATCCTTCCGATTACTCCTCTCCTTTGCCTTCTCTTCCTCTTTCATCAATTCCTCCAATGCTGATTTCCCACTCTTACCTAAATTACCATTTTCTTTATTTTTTGCATTCTTCCTTTCCTTCTCTTCATTTTCTTCAAAAACCAATCTAGTAGAAGTCTCTCCTTTTTCTTTACTAACATTAGTTTTTGAACCAAGAACAAATCCAATCTTAACCCCACCATCCATTTTTAACTCTTTTGAAGCTGGCTCCATTGTTACTTCATTATTTTCCTTCTCAGAATCCACATTTCTAACATTTGTCAATAATTGCTCAGCCTTCTCAATCTGTTTCTGTATTTCCCTTTCTTGCTTCTCCTCCTCAGCTAAATCAGCTCTAAGTCTTTTATTCTTCATTTTTTCCTTAAAAATAGTCTCTGAATCCCTATCAATATAAGTAATAAACCACCCTTTTGGCGTCTCCTCAACTTTACACTTACCTGTTCGACCTAAGTACTTAACAAACTCAGTCAAAGTAGCCCACTGTGTTGAGTTCATATGTACATGATGCCTATCATGAATATACTCATTGTAAACGACGGTGGCAGCAACACGGGAAAAGCGGTGGCTCCGCCGCATCATGTCAAGGAAGGTGTTTTCGAACTCCTCGGAATAACCCTCGACAATCCGGTGAGGGTTTTCACCGAAGATTTGCATCTGACGTTGATGGCTCTCACTCATACAATGGCATTTGAAGCCGTTCTCATCGCGGCACTGCTTCTGGCACATCTGACAGTACCATCTGAGCTTTTGGAGACCTTTCGCTTTGATTCTGTTAGCGATTGCTTTTGGCGTGAGAAAATCGTTCTTGCCCATTTGGGATTAATGACAACTTAATCGCAGAGGGAGAGGAGTATCCTGCTTGTCATTTAACAATAACAAAACAATTGAAAAAGTTAATTTCATGCTGCCAAATCCTATTGAAGACTGAAATGTAACATGTTAATCCTCTTACTTTTGTTTTTTCTCTTTAGCACATATAATAATGCCCACAACCAATCAGACCCGCAAAACAAAACCAAAAGAAAACGAAAATTCTCGCCTGGCATTAACCAATATCTATACATCATACTTGAATAATGAAATTCAATGACAAAATGTACTAAATAATAATACGTATAATTTTTATAATTTGAAATAAAATTTAATAGAATTAATTAATCTAATCCTTTTTTGTAGCCTGGATTTCCTTCTATTGATAAACTCGTTACCCAATAATGATAAGCATACTCCAATTCACTTGTGAATTTTCAAAATTTAACAACAAAACCAGAAACAGCAGCTCAAAAAAAAAAAAAAAAAAAAAAAAAAAAAAAAAAAAAAAAAAAGAGCAGGTCAGCAGGACAAGGAAGCAATTCAAGAAGAATATCAATTATGCGTGTGGAAGAGAAAATCGTTAAGAATTACGAAGGATAGCAATAGCAAAACCCTAAGAATTCATCAAGTTATCAACAACCCTTAAAACAAACAGCACACTCATTTTACAGCGGAAAAAAAAAAAAAAAAAACAAATTATTCACATACTTATTTACAGAGTTGCGAATTGCGAGCCACAGAGTTGCGGAGATGGCCGCTCGTTGATTCAATCTCTGGAGATTGGATAAGAGGCAATAAACCAAGAAGAGAAAGCGACGACGATGATGATGAGCGATTGCTTGATTGAGGAAAGAAAAAATAAGTTTCGGTATTGGAAGACCGAATTTCTTTGAAAACCCTACGTCGTCGTGTTTTTGCTCCCGTCTTAAATGATGTCGTTTCAATGAAGGGTTCGTTCCCCCTCTAGTATTCATTATTGATTATTGATTAGCGACTCACTATACATGTTTATGGTTTAACTCATTCCCTCCTACTTGAACTCACTTTATTTGTACTCATTGACCTTTGGTCATTGAAAAACTCACTTTGTTTATACTCATTGAATTTTAATCGTTATAAATAAATATAATTTAATTTATATATTTTTATATATATATATATATTTTTTTTTTTTTCTATTAATTTTTTGTCATGTAAATCACATTTTTAAAAAATCTGATAAGACTGGCCGGTTCAACCAATGTAATCAAAAAAATTTGACTGTAGTCCTGTTTGAATTGGATAATAAAATTGAAAGCTTCAAAAACCGACATAAATTGGTAAAAACAGAATGAAATTCGGCTAAAAATCAGTGATCTGGACCAATATTAATATGGTTCGATTCAATTCTGGATTTTTTTCAAAATGTGTTCCTTCTTAAAATATGGTCCTCTTAAAAATTAAACTCATTGATTTTTTAGTTTTTATGCCTCTTTATTTCTAAGCCTAGAATCCTAATATGTTAAGCTAATTAAATTGTCCAATTTTAAACAAATGTCAAAAATACATGTTTTTTACATCTTTATTTTTAATTGTCAACAGATGTAAAAAACATGTATTTTTGATATTATGTAATTAAATATTTTCTTTTATTAGTGTTTATCTTTCAATTTTAGAAATGATAGAGTTACTTTGTTTCATATCATCTAAATACTATTTATTTGGAAGGAAATATCAAACAAAAGGTAGTTATTAATTTTCCTCTAGAATTGTTTTTTGTATATGAGATCTAAGGGTTCTCTTTAATTAGTCCTTGGACCAACAATTTTAACCAGATCACTAACACGGGACCATGACAAGTTACCTAGCTTTTGCTTACTGATTTATTCTTAAAGAAAATTATTTTTGGGTTCTTAAAGTTTTACAAAATACATAAATTCATTCTCACTATTTATACAAATTATTCGGTAGTGTCAACGAATGTATCCGTCTGACTCTTTAGTCCTTCCATCGAAAAAATAATATTTTTTCTGTTAATTTTATATAAAAAGACAGAAATACCCTTATTATGGACCCACAAACACCCATGTTTATTTTTAATTTTTAATTACTCTTAATTATGCAGTATTATGGGACGTATAAAAAGCGACTGGTGGATACAGTGACCGACAAAAATACTGTCAGCCCTCTCTGTTGATTCACTTGCCGCCAACACATCCAGGGACTCTCACAATGGGAGAAAATGCCCACATCGTTTCACTCCCTGCCTGTGCTTAGTCCCATGGGATCTCCTCCTCACTGGGTCCTTGAAGCCCAGATCGCGCAAAATCTCTCCTATGATGGGTCAAGGGGCAATTGGAGAAAAGAACATAAGCAATGGAAGGAGCGTGCGGTGATTGAAGAAGAGGGGCTTCTTGAAGATGAAGAGAGAAAACGGAATACCTGATATTTTCTTGTTTTTGTTCTCGGTTTCTTTGTTGAAGAAGAAAACCAATCCCAAATCTCCTCTTAGTGTTTACTGTGAGGAAGAGACCCAACAGTGAACAACCTCTACTCTCCAATCTCAAATCTGCTGCAATTCACATGGTAGAGCAAGGAGCACCTAAAACCACTAGGAAGGCAGGGTTTGGTGAAATCAGTGAACAAAAATTATGTTTGTGGGTCTCATGATAAGAGTTTTTCCATCTTTTTATGTAAAATTAACGAAAAAATGCTTGTTTTTTAACGGAAAGAATAAAGAGTTGGACAGATGCATATGTTAGGAATTACAGAATAATTTGTATAAACAATGAGGAGGAACTTGTGTATTTGTAAAATCTCAAGGACCCAAAAATAACTTTTCCTTATTATTATGCAAACCTTCTACGGGTTAGTTTTTTCTAGATACTGATTTTCACAATTTTGTAAAGTTCATTTGAAATTTCATACTTTCATATTTGGTATAAGTGAAAATGCTAACTTAACTCTCAAAAAAAAAAAAAAATCAAAATTTATAGAATTCAACATATAATTAAATCAAATTCTCATTATTGAATCAATTTTACTTCAAATTATTTACAATAAGCAAAAAATAATTGAAAAATCTAGAGTTTCTCTCAAGAAAAAAAGCGCACGGATGAACATATTCCATCCAAATAGATGGAACAAAAATTTTAAAAAATGAAGAATATTCTGTCCAACTATTATTTATTATTTACAATATAAAGTATTTTCTTAAGTGAAGCATCTTGAAATTGTGCTTGGCACTCACTCAGAAAAATAAAGGAATGAAGGGAAAGGTTGTTGATATTCAATATCATCATATTCACATACAAGCACTTGTGTTTAGGGGCGGAGCCCCATGCAGCCTAGCATGGGCATGTGCCCACCCTGAAATTAACAAAAAAAAAAAACTTTTCAATTTTCAAGCATTTAGATGGAACTTAAAATAATGCTATTTTTCATGTTTTAAATACAAGAATATGACTTGTTGTTAGCATTTGCTAATTTGTAATTACATGGACAAAAAGATCTCTTTTTTTTTTTTTTTTTTATAGTCAAAGGAGGGTCGGAAGCCCGTAACTAGTAAACACTGGGCCATATGGCCCCAACTTAGCATCTAAGCACCACTTTAGTGCAGGAGGCGGCACATGCGAAAGCTGCAGACCCATAGTACCCAATGGAGCCTCAAATATGAAGTATTTGTTGAGACTTTAGTTATAGCTTTAATGATAAATAAATAAAATTTTCATTTAATTTTTATTGAGAGACATATGCATATATAACAAATTTATATAGTATAGGCTTTGAAATATATATTAAATTTTGGACAAAAGATTCATTAAAAATAAGCTTGAATTTATTATTTTAAAAAAATATTCATACTGAAAATTTAAATTTTTAAAATATATAATATAGTCAAATACTTCTTCCATTTATCTAGACACACATTAATTTATTTAGCTACACCTTTTATCCTTGTTGTCCACTAAAGAAATTTGAGAAATATTATAGATCAATGGATACTTTTTACCTTTTGAGATATTATATTATCAATGGATTCAATACAAAACTTGTAATCTATAAATTTGAGAACCAACATTAACAATTTATTATATTGAAAATTAAAAATAGAAATATATTTTAGGCAAATTTATTTTGCACATTTATTATATTGAAAATTAAAAATAGAAATATATTTTAGGCAAATTTATTTTGCACATTTTTTTTTATTATTTCCATTAACTTTAATTTGCCCATACTGACTAAAATTTATGCCTCTGCCCTGCTTGTGTTAATGGCTTTGTAATCTTATAGTAAAAGTGTAATCCTTATTACTCTTTAAGGTAACTATAATTAGAAATTTTATTGAGACAATAATATATAAAAAGAGAAGTTTAAAATTGAGCTTCTCATTATGATTAATTTTTATTTCCAAGTTACAGTTTAAAATAATGGTCTAACCTTCAATTTCACTCCGAACTTTTTCAGTAGTTGCAAGTTCACTCTAAATCAACCTTTGTACCCTAGACACTCTAAACTTATTAACTTAGTTGCAATTACACCATAATTTGCTTTTAAGGTGCAATTGCACCCAAAATGTGAATTAAACACCATGAACTTCTCAATTTGTTGCAAATGCACCCTAAAAGCAACTAAAGTCGAAATTTTGATTAAAATAATGTAAAAAGTGGAGGGAGCCGGGAATTAAGTAGCAGAAATAATCCAAGATCGAAACAAGTACGAAAGCAAACCAACCACACAAATCACACAAGAACTGACTTGTTGTAGCACAAAATCGCTCACTAGAGTTCTTTTCAGAATTATTCAAGTCACCTTATAGTCTTCTACTGTGTGACCTTAATTGATTCTATAAATTATATTTTTCTGAATGGACAGAAAAACACTGTAGGTCTATTTCTTGAGAGACTACTGCATTTTTCTCTGAGTACTCTGTTATCTCAAAAAACAATGCGTATTCAAAAAACTAATATCTCTCTTATCCGCGTGGGAAGCGAACGATAAGAATAATTATTCTATTACCCTCGTAGTTGATATTTTATATAAAATAGATTATCCTTTTTAATTAAAAAATTAATAAATAAAATTTTAATTAAAAAATAATCTATTAATTATTTAAAATACATAATCAACATAGGATCCAAATAATTAAGACACAACAGGGACTGCAGGAATAGATAAATAAGAATCCATACAGGATGAGTATATTCTTATTATAATTAATTATAAATTACTTCACTAAAAATTCACAATTGAACTCCTTATTAATTTAACTTTTCATAACATAATACTTTATATTCTCTAGGTAAAGATTATAGATGTCTGTCAAATAAAATAAATCACTGACAATTTATTTAAATAACAATTTTAATCTTTAAGATTGTCGCTTAACTTATTTTATATATCGGATTAAAAATCCACCTGCAAGGTTTACATAATGAAACCTTATAAGCTTACTTAAAGTGCATCATCATTCTCTAAGCCGAGACATGGATTCTATCATTAATTGATATTTCACAAGTACAAGTTATTTTTCCCCAATTCACCGAGAATTATTGTCCCGATCAATTACGAGAAATTATTGTCCGATTAAATTCACCGAGAATTATTGTCCCGATAAATAAAACTTTCTTTAATGAATTAAAGTACAAAGCAATGTATATTTGCTCATATTAATTAAATCAAGATTAAGAACATAAATCTTATTTCTAATGTCCTAGAGGATATGTTTTAAAAGTCAGTATAAAACAACCATTCTTTACTTGATCCAATTAGATGCATAAAAAATGTACTAACACTTTTATTATAAAATATGCTGAAAAATTTATTCATGTAAAGCAAATCTCGAATTAAATACATAGAAATAATTGTTTAAAGAAATAACACCAAAAACATAATATTACATTTGCATGGTTAATATTATATCTCTATCAATCTCCCACTTAGACTC